TTAGTTCTAGGTAGATTTTGTTTTTAAGATCTCTTAAATAGACTATTCCTTACTCTAATGCTTGATGGGTATATCAATGACCTCAGATATCTTATTGAAGAAACTATCAAACATACTGCTTGGTTCAAACCATCTCCAAAAAAATCATCCAAGTCTATTTAATGAAAGTCATTAATCAGGGCTTGCTTATCAAAATTTTAATTATCTCGTTTTCACTGGTAGAGAAGATATTCTACCTATAATAATAAAATTTGGTAGATGGCCAGATAGATCATAACATAAATTTCCACTTATGGAAAAGTGCTCAAGGGAATTAAAGAAAATATTGTCAATAAGAGTTGCTGAGGGATCTGTTATTCTAGTAGGCTGCAGAATTTGAGGTTGAAAATAAAATGTGCCTAAGGTATTTAGGAAATTTTCTGTACTGGGATTTGATTCAAACTTGAGAAAGTTGAAATCTCCCAATAATACATAATATTTTTTTTCACAATGAATCATTTCAACAACCATGCTAATATAATTTAGGAAGTTATCTTAATTGCCATGTTGGTGTCTTTAAAAAACCCCACAAACGATATTGTGCCCTGTATCACTTTGAATTTCAATCCATGGTTATTCATATATCATTTTGGACTTGCGCTGAGAGATTTTGGTCAGTGGGAACATGGAGGTCAACATCTAAATTAGTAAGATGATATATATTGTTAATGAAAAAAGTTACACTTTTTAATCGAGGTAATTAGGTATAGCTGGATGAATAACTGGGCTATCCCCTTGCGAACTGAATTCCCAGTTTTCTGGGAATTCCTAGGAATTCCTAGGAATTCCTAGGAATTCTCAAAAATTCCCAATTATGCAAATGATCCTTGCAAACTGAATTCCCAGTTTTCTGGGAATTTCTGGGAATTCCTAGGAATTCCTAGGAATTCCTAGGAATTCTCAAAAATTCCCAACTATGCAAATTAGCTCTGATTTAAAAAGCTTGGAATTACTGGGAATTTCTGGGAAAGGAAGACTCCAGTTTTGTGAGGACTTGAAATCCCTAGGAATTCCTAGGAATTCTCAGCTTTACAAACTACCTATAATTTAAGAAGTGTGGAACTCTTGGGAATTTCTGGGAATTGAATTTGAGGCAATTTTAATACCCTGAGGTCCACATAAATTCTAAGAAATACCTTGAATGTGAAGGTTTGAAAACTTTGGCTCAATAAAGGGTATGCTATACAAAACTTACCAAGAGATATACATACATGTACATGTTTATAACTTAAAGATCATGAAATTTATTACTCAAACTAAGTTTTAGTAAATCTTTACATTAACATGGATTTTCTCATGAACCAGCTGTCAGTTATGTTAACTAGAAATTGCCAACTTCCACAATAATTAACAATAATTACATTGTTATCTTACTTCCCTAACCTACATTACTGGTTGCCTTTGTTAGAAAACCTTGGAACAGTCAAGCTTAGTTGCCTCCAGCGCTGTCAGAGACTTTTTGTTGACAATACTTTTAGTAGAAATTTCATGCCTTAGACAAACAAATTCAACACCTAATTAATCTTTCTTTTTTCATGATTGTTGTTGCTGCTTTTTTTTTCAGTTTTTTGCTCTATTTTCATGACTAATTGCTGTAATTTGTTTTGCTGTTTTTATTCTTACAAAACATTTTTGTAAGAGTTCCAATACTTGTGGATCATCCACACACTTTGCAAACATTTGGCATGCAGACAAGACAGAGGTAGTCAATGTTCCCTTTGAGGAAAAACACCTTTTATATGACGTCTTCAATTTACTTTATTTGAAACTCTGATCTGAAAATATTTGTCAACAAGACTTGTTAGTAGTGAGAAATACCAACTAAGTTTCCTTTCATAACTTAATTTCTTAAATGTCCCAATCGCTGGATCTCCCAAAAAACATTACATCTTTTTATTTTTGGTGCAAATTACAAGTCCTTCTTTATATAAAAATGAAAAGTGCTAGTCACACTTCAATAATAACAGCTCTTAAGTTTACTTGTTGTTCTTCTCTGTCTGTCAGCTATCAACAAAATTGTTTTATACTTCGGGCAGTGCATAACTATTTGTGGACCAGAGTTCCAACGCACCTCTGTAATCGCATATAGCTACTTCTGTCTCTTGTACAAATGTTTCTCCTTTGTAAGACGCACTCTACTCTGTTGTCAATACTGCTTTAAGTTCAGTGGAAACGACTGACTGAGGAATCGAGATGGCGGTGTTGGAACGTGTTGCTGAACGCTTTCTACGGTCAAGCTTTGTAGATTTAGGTACTGGTACACTGGGATCATCTATGTATCTCTTATACTTCCGAATGTGGTATCCTTCTTTTATAAATATGAGGGTAAAAGACGATTTGTAGTCGCATTCAAAACTGTGATTGGCTTGTGTTATTTCTCACCTTTGCCACTAACACAACTCAAGTGAGTTTCGAGTCTTTGTTTCTTCGACAACTTTCGGCCACAAATTGAGCATTTGTAATACGATCGATTCTTGTCGATTATTTCTACATAGAGTAAGCTCACATCTTTATTTATATCACCAAGCTATCCATCTTCTAGAAGCAGAGAACCGGTCGGAGAAGTCAGAATAAAGTTGGGCACTTCTCCTAACACTGCAATCGGCAAGCCAGCGGATTCTCTCTGCTAGCCAATGACAAGTCCTAGAAGATCCACGTGATCATGCCCGTGATCGGAAACAAAGAAGACTCCATTTGGCGCTCATCTTTGAATGTACTTTTCATCGGTTGATCGCTTTTCTCAACTGTTTTGCTTAATATAACATTTCTAAAGATAGCTTTTATTGTGGTTCAATGGGAAAACGAGAATAGCGTGAGTGTTGTAAAAGAAAAGAAAGTCGTTGGCGCCGTGGAGTTAAAAGAAGGGACAACAGTTGACATATTGACTGGTACAAACAAGGGTCGAATGGCCGTCTGTAAAGCTACGATTTTGAAAGTTTGAGGTGAGTAAAAATTGCGATATTCGTTACGTGATCAAAATCTTATAAAAGAATAGATGTAGCGGGTTGAATTAAGCTTACATAACGCTCGGCGCAACTGAAACTAGAATAATTCTGAGAATCGAATCGGTCACTTGCATGCCGCAGTTTCTTAAGCTTATTATGCTTTACAATGAAATAAACCTATCAGTAAGGTTTCAAGATTCCTCTAGTCACGTTTGGGAACATTCAAGATTCAAAATAGGAACTGTTATTAAACAAACCTTAGTACATAAAGAAGCCCTCCTTGGTAAAAACAAAATAATGTATTCAGCCCTTTTTTAGTAAAATCCATGAGAGAGATGTACTAACTCCAATATGAAAGTCACTCAATATAACAGAGATTTCTAAATTTGAGAATCCAATGAATGCCCTTTTCCTCATAGCCATCTTAAAAGCCTGGTCTGAGCTTTAAACATACATATTTTAATATATTATTTTTTTTCAAATTCAGATGTCAAGGAATCCAGATACAAAATGGTCAAGGTTCTTGTTGACAACCTCATTCAAGGCCAACTCATTGTGAGCCCAGGAAAAAAAATACAAACAGTACAAACAGCAGCTAAGTTTGCAGTTTAGGATAACTTCATTCTAAATTATTGTTACGGTTACAACAAGATTTTAATCAAAAAATCAATTTTATTTGACTGTAATTAGCCCCTTCACTCCCAAGAGTGCTTGGTTTTCAAATATAACTTAAGATATTGTATTTTATGGAAAAGAATCAACAGATTTTATTCACAATTTGTGTCAAACCAAATTTAATGATTGATTAGAACTATTTTATATGAAAAGCTGTAATTGAGGATTAATCCGTATGAAGTTTTCAAGAAAAGAAAAATAAATCAAATTCCATCCTAATATTACCACACATTGATGTTAATAATTAATCAAAAACAGTTTACATGTAAGCCTTAAATTAAGCTTCTAAATAAATTTCATTGAATACTTGAATTTTAGCTGGGTTTTTTTAATTTAAAGTATTTATTTTATATCATTAGCCTCAAATTTTTGCTTAAAATTCCCAGTAATTCTGAAACATTCCTAAAAATTCCCAGAGATTCCTAGGAATTTTTTAGATATACAGCTTTTCAGGGAAAGTCATTGGTTCTCTGAGTTGGAATTCCTAGGAATTCCTAGGAATTCCTAGGAATTCCTAGGAATTCCAAGTCCTGTTGGCTATAAACTTGGAATTTCTGGGAATTTTTGGGAATTTCTGGGAATTTCTGGGAATTTCTGGGAATTTCTAGGAATTTCTAGGTTTTTAGAACCAGAGTTGTTATGGTTGGGAATTCCTAGGAATTCCTAGGAATTCCCAGTCCGAATTTACCGTGAAAATTCACACCTTTATTCTAGGAATTCCTAGGAATTCCTAGGAATTCCTAGGAATAAATTCCTAGGAATTCCTAGGAAAATCCTAGGAATTCCTAGGAATTCCAAAAGCCATTTCGCAAGGGTCAGAGGACGAGACTCTGCCAGGATACTTACCACAATTCTTACTAACTAAACAACACTTACCAAAAAATAATCGAATAAACCTAAACAGTTACAAAAACTCATACGAAAGCACCCAACACAATTCAAGAAACGACATTCGAGTTCGAAAAGTCCGGCAAATATTCAAAATCGAGTGCCCCATCGTGATCACTTAGGCCATATAACGTAGGACTTTCAATTTAAATTTTTTATACAAATCAAACATCTTGACCAACTAAATATTCCACTACAATTTCTAGGTTAGGGGAGAAAACTTTGAGATTAAGTTACCATTTCTAGAAAACTGACCGTCCAAAATATTTATTGTCGTTGTCTAAAAATATATATGGTTAATAAAAATGGTAGCGGTTTGTTTACAAAGTCTTTTGATAAATTTGGTACAATTTCCTGGCTACTGTTGACAACCGGTTGTGATAATGTGTTTGGGCTGATCAACGCAGGAAACCATACATTTGATTGGATGAACAAAAATTATGGTAATAAATTTTAAGAGAAAGCTATGGACAGCAAGGAGCTAGCTTTCATTGGTGTGATAAAAGGATGCATATATCTGTCGCACCTGAACTCATTTTCTGAGTTTAGAAACGAAAAGAAAGAAAAACACATAACAAACACATGAAGCTCTGGCTTAGTCATCCTCCACTTCGTCGTCCTATTCTTCTTCCTCTTCTTCCTCCTCTTCTTCTTCCTCCTCCTCCTCTTCCTCTTCTTCTTCTTCTTCTTCTTCTTCTTCTTCTTCTTCTTCTTCTCCTTCTTCTTCACCTTCCCCTCCCTCTTCCACTTCAGGTGCTTCTGTCTCCTCTGGTCCTTCTGTTGGTTCTGGTGCTTCAGTCTCCTCTGGTCCCTCAGTAGCTCCTGGTGCCTCTGTCTCCTCTGGTCCTTCAGTTGCTCCAGGTGCTTCAGTCTCCTCTGGCCCCTCAGTCGCCCCTGGTGCTTCTGTCTCCTCTGGTCCTTCTGTTGGTTCTGGTGCTTCAGTCTCCTCTGGCCCCTCAGTCGCTCCTGGTGCTTCGGTCTCCTCTGGCCCCTCAGTAACTTCTGGTGCTTCAGTCTCCTCTGGCCCCTCAGTCGCCCCTGGTGCTTCTGTCTCCTCTGGTCCTTCTGTTGGTTCTGGTGCTTCAGTCTCCTCTGGCCCCTCAGTCACTTCTGGTGCTTCAGTCTCCTCTGGCCCCTCAGTGGCCCCTGGTGATTCCGTCTCCTCTGGCCCCTCAGTCACTCCTGGTGCTTCAGTCTCCTCTGGCCCCTCAGTCGCTCCTGGTGCTTCGGTCTCCTCTGGCCCCTCAGTCACTTCTGGTGCTTCTGTCTCCTCTGGCCCCTCAGTCGCTCCTGGTGCTTCTGTCTCCTCTGGTAAATCCGTTGTAGCGAGTGTAACTATTTTTTATTGATAAAGATACACACACGATTACTGTAACATTAAGGCACCGATAAAATCGCTTTACCTAAGCCAGAAAAAAAGCGATTTATAGGTTATGTTCAACCATATAACCGGCAAAGTACATATGATTTGAGGTTGCTTTCATAAGCATACATTAAAGCACGCGTAATTGAATTTGTATCAGTATTATTGTTCTTATTGACAAAATCTAGGAATGGAACATTCCCGAATTTGCAACTCTGGTCACCAACCAGCAACTAATAGACTATAAGAGTGCAATTTACTCCTCGGCTCTATCGACCTATGGGACGCAATTTTCCAAAGTCGATAAAACTATAATGCTATTTAAGCAGCACCAACTATTTATTGAAGTTGAACGAATGAAGCTTCATAGTGAATTTCGAATTTTCGAATTTGCCTTTGAATAGCATGTTCCCGTGGAAACAATCAACATAAATGTATTCATCCATTTCGCAAGCATGTGAAAATGATCTTAGAGGTAATGCTGTCGCTGACCATTGCGCTCGATTTGGCAATGCTTAAAGGGAGGGGAAAGTTTTTTAAAAGTCCCTCCACGCCCTTGAAATGTGCCAATTTACATCTTGTGATGCTCTTGATATTGTTGTTGTAAAAATACCTAAGCATTGTTCAATAAGTTTTCCTTTGATAACTTCTAAAAATTGCATAATTTATCCCTGTATTCTTCTATCTATCGGTAAAACAAAGATTTAATTTTTGACTAATATTGCGACACGAGATAAATATCTGAAATTACTTGATTGCGTATCTTAGGTTTTTCCATTGTAAATTGTTTTTAAAATTTTCCGAAAATGCTTCCGATCTCGTCATGCTGAAACGAGCTTGAAACGCGACCTTAATTGGTTTGCAAAGTTTTCTAGTGCTATACACTGTAAAGTAAAGGTAATCACATGCCTCAGTGACTTCAAGTTCAAGGGCCACCGCGATTACAATAGGTGTATGTGCGTCAGGTTTTAAAAAAGAAGATTTCGAGACTAGTCCTAATTAGATATTGGAAAGTAAATTCTCTTTTAAGAAAACCACGCATAAAGAGAACGACTCGCTGAGGGCGAGAAATTCTTATAGGCAATTGAACAGACAGCGTTGCACATTATTGTAAAAACGAGGTACTCTTTACTCCCAAATCATGATCAAATTATCTATCCTTTACGTTTTCTTTTCCATATGAAATATTTGTGTGTTTTTTCCACCAATGAAGAAATAGAAGAGAAAAATAAATTCGCCAAATTGATGGGACCTTTCTTTCTTCGCCATAAATCTATTTCAGCTAAATAGTTACGGCAATTTTCTTAAACTGAGGTAACCTTCCGGTGTTGGTCAAAACCTACGGTCTCAAGAATAAATCAAGAAACCATTTTTCTTTTGGAATATGCCCAATTAAAACTCTTATATCTACTTAACTTCGTGAGAGGTCTCGAAAAATTCCTTAACAGATTTAGACATCTTCAATGTCGAGTTTGTAATTTTACACATGCATTTAGAAATTGAGCATTCATAAAGTCAAGTCTGTGATCTTGCAGAGTGTGTGCCAGTGTGAAAACATCTGAGCAACGGAATAAAGAATTTCCTGTAACT